TATATATATATATATATATGACAACTGTATGTTACTCACGATGGACAGACAACTTGCTTTCCTTTTTTTCCTTTCTTTGTGGATTTTCCTTCTTTACTTGAGGCAAGTTGCCAACAGCACAGCAGCAAAAGCAGCAAAATCACTGGCCTCAATCCAACAGCCATGGTGCCTGAAACAGAGTTTAATACTGGCCTCAGTACATACAACATATAGCTTAAAAAAGAACAATATTGTTGCAAACTTAGCACAAGATTTCACCACATGTAGGAATCCACTAGAATTTATTTTTTATGCATATCATAATAGATGTGATTACGTTTTGGAAATACATCTCTTTGTTTGAGACTCTTTACAGTATTTATCTGTGACTATGCTATCACATTCAGCTTAAAGCTTGAAAAATACTTCACTGAAATTTGTCCTAGAAATGTTCACTGAGTATAAAACAGAAAGGAAATAATAATAATAAAGCCAGACAGAAATAATAATGAAAATAAATAATAATAATGATCTATTATTGCTGTGTCCCTTATACATCTAGGAGTGGCAGCACCATTTATACTCGCCTCATCTAAATTGGATATAGTTATTCAATTCATTAATCCATATATCTACGGTCAAGGATATTTTTTAAAAGCAGGATGCCACTTTCTACATGAAAATGGTATATGTAGGTTTTTGAGATGCCTCACTTGTAGTATTTTACCATTATATTTTATCAAGATATTTAATGTGACAAAAAATCATGTTAAGAAGAAATAAATTCATAGCTACATAAAGCGCTTTTTACAGTCTTTGGTTTTATACATGTAGCTTAAAGTATATGTACTAAAAGTCTGTATACTCAGTAATGCAGCATTGGTACATTTTGGTAGGATGGCCGTGATTGTCTATGAGTAACAATAATAATGACATGTTCAGTGACCTTTCTGACACAGTTTAAAGGTGCACAGTTTGCAGCCAATCAAAAATGTTCAGTGTGATTGCCCTTCCTGATCTGTAGGTGTCACTGGCTCTGATGCTCCCCGAGCTGACCACATCAAAATACAACATCCTCTTCATATAAACTGAAGAATTTTGTGGCACATGTTGAAAGACCTCAGCTTCCTCGGAAAATAGAGCCTGTCCATAGAATGTTTTTTTCTGGGATAGTAATGCTAATTCCAACATTTCAAGTTTATGAATGTTTTTGCTATTGCTATATAAACAATTAATATTTGGTTAAAGTTCAACTTTCATTCAAAGGTTTTCGGAAAATATTTTGCAACTTTTTGGAAAATTATTTAATTAATAATAGCCCTTATACATCCTCCTCATTCCATCTGAAGTTGATCACCATTTCTTTGTCTTTGGCCTTATTAAAATTCAGAAGATGATGAGTCAATAAAATGAACAAGATTTCTGTACTCCTTGCCCTTGCCCATCACTTTAAAAGAGCTATCCAAGCACAAGCAAAATTCCCAAATTAAACACTCTGTTGTTGTTTACTTCTGACCAGTTACTGGGATCGAAGATTCTCTTGCCCTTTCTACCAGCAATTTGAATGTTTGTCTTTAATAAAAAACATGAATACAATAAATATATAAATAATCACAAATCAAAAGGAAAGGTTCTTCTATTCAAAAGCATTATATGCTGTACATCAAAATTCTCCTCTTTTTTATAATGATAAACTGACAGATAATTGAGGAAATATTTTAAATTTCTCCAAACTCCTCTGATACATCGAACATGCAGACCCAAGCTTGTTTCACCATTGGCATTTATTATCCGTGGAGTGATTTTAATAGCACCGGATGGCTTATATAACTGTTTTATTACACCAATCTCATCACTGCCAATAACAAGCTAAGTAACTGGATGCTGCCTTAATTTACCTAGTCATAGTGGCTTATAGGAGCGTGTGTGTTTGTGTGTCATATTTTTTTAAACATGCATCCATCCATCCATCCATCCATCCATCCATCCATCCATTCATTCATTCATTCATTCATTCATTCATTCATTCATTCATCCATTTTCTCCCAGGGCCTGGTCGCGGGGCGGTAGCCTAAGTATAGAAGCCTAGACTTCCCTCTCCCCAGCCACCTCCTATATCTTATCCGGGGAGAACACCAAGGCATTCCCAGATCAAGCGAGAGAATTAACCTCCTGGGTCGGCTTCCTCCTGGTGGGCCATGTCAGAAGACTTCACCCTCACTAAGATTATGCCAGTGAGGATGACTACTACCACTCAGCATCCTCCTCAATTTTGCATTTTTCTTGTGTTGTAAGTGCTATTTTCTAGTTTTTTGGCAACAACTAACCACCTATGACAGACAGACTCTTTTAGACATCCTACAACATTCATAATCTGGGACCACACTGGTGGCTTAACTTGGATACCTGAGCAGAAACAACGCTGGAGGAAAAGGGAGAAAAGAGCCAGAGTTCTGGTCAGGCTGAGAAACAGACAACACTTTTCCCCTTTTTCCAAGATTCTTCTAGCTAACATCCAAATTTTGGGGAAAAAATGGATGAACTGCTTTCCACAGCATATTATGGATTGCAATGTCTTTATTTTTACGGAGGCATGGTTGGATGCCTCAATCCCTGAATCGGCTATTCTTCCTTCTCCATTCATCGTCAGGACTGGACAAAGGAGGTGGGTAAGTGGAGGAGAGGTGGCGTGTCTATAATGACTAACAAGTAATGGCGTGTTTCATCAAGGTGCTTCCCTGATGTTGAACACCTCATGATCAAATGTGTTCTGTACTGCTGTTTATATTTTTTCCCCCTACGGTGACACTGTCAGGGTGCTGCCCAAGCTGTATGATGTCAACCACTGGCAAGAAGTACTACACCCCAAAGCGACAAAGCCAGCCTGAAGAAAGTTCTGCCATGTAAGCTTTCCAACATGAATTAGAATAGAATTCAACTTTATTGTCATTGCACATGTCACAAGTACAAGGCAACGATATGCAGTTTGCATCCATCCAGAAAGTGCTTTAGCAATAGATATATTACAAAATATATATTAGCAATAATATATGTATATAGATATATTACAGAAATGGGTCTGTTATAGGTATGTTACAATGTACAAGTGGCAGTAGATATGTTATGAAGGTATGTTATGAATATGCTATAAGTATGTACAGGCTGTACAGAGTGTACAGGCTATGAACAGGATATAAATATGAAAATGATACAGAAATATGAAATATGTTATAAACAGTTGAAGAACTATAATTATTGTATTGTACAGAATGATTGCCTATAAAGCATTTACAGTAGTGCAGTTTAGATCAGTGAGATATGTGGCTGATTTTAACAGTGGTTCTACAGTGGCTATAACATCCTGGATCACCTTTAGACCCCTTTCACATGTGCCTATAAAGCCCACCTTTCAGCAAATCAGATTACTCCTCAGTCCTGCTGCTACCAGCCAATAGGCAGAGGCTGAAGCACGAGCAACCAGCGACAATGAGATGATCGGGTTCAATGTTGAACCAACTAATCACACATGGTCCTGCATCACTGCTTCCACACTATGTACTGGGAAGTTTTTCAAACTGCTGCCAACAATAACGTAAATAACCACACAAACTGCTTACTGGATACATCCACAAATGAATCAGTGTGGTTGATGTTGTCTCAAACATCAGGCGCATGTGGAGTGGGCTAAAAACCATAACACATTTCAAGGGGAAGAGCTACAGCACAGTGGAGATGACTGGTTCCCTACCTGAGGAGCTGAATGACCTTATAAACAGTACCGTCTGTGAAGGTTCTCAGTCATCGTAGTCAAAGGAGCTTGCAAAGAAAAGCGTCTGGACCTCTTTAAGTTGCTTGAAGACGTTTCACCTCTCATCCGAGAAGTTTCTTCAGTTCTAAGGTCAAATGGTGGAGAGTCCCAGATTTAAACCTAACGGGAGTATCCCCCTAGTCCCAGATTTAAACCTAGTGTGTGATACTCCCACTAGGTTTAAATCTGGGACTCCCCACCTCCCCACCATTTGACCTTAGAACTGAAGAAGCTTCTTGGATGAGAGGTGAAACGTCTTCAAGCAACTTAAAGAAGTCCAGACGCTTTTCTTTGCAAGCTCCTTAGACTATAAACAGTACCGTTTATAAGGTTGGGGAAACCTGCAGTGAACAGACACTGAAGAAGTCACTTGGATGAATGACGAAACGTTTCTCTCACTGAACACTACGTCCAGATGAACAGAATCAATTTTGGGGATTTCCTTACCTGGATGATTGAGCATGCATCAAGACATAATTTTAGAGATAATATGCAAAATGGAAGAAAGCAGTTCTACATATTTGTTTAGGATGTGCATTGAATGACTTATCCTAGTCAAAAATGACTCAACAGTGTTACTGGAGACCAAGGTAATGCCATTCAGACTAAGCATCTGGTTAGATACCATATTTCTAAGATTTTCTGGGCCGAGTACAAAAACTTCAGTTTTATCTGAATTAAGAAGCAGAAAGTTAGAGGCCATCCAGGTCTTTATGTCTTTAAGACATTCGTGCAGTTTAACTAATTTGGTGTGTTTTATCTGGCTTCGTGAATAGATAAAGTTGTCATCTGCATAGCAGTGACAATGCGTTCTATCCCTTATGATACTGCCTAAGGCAGTGGTTCCCAAACTTAACTTAAAATACTGTATAAAGCACCTTGAGGCGACTGTTGTTGTGATATGGTGAGTATAAATAAAATTGAATTGAACTGAGTATTTTTTTTCCTCTTCAATGGTTAAAATTTTATTTGTGAAGAAATTCATAAAGTAATTATTAGTTAAGGTTAAACAAATGCTTATCTTAATAGAGCTCTGACTTTGTGTCAGTCTCAGGATCTGAACTGTCACATCTTTCCAGATCTTTTAGACCTATTTTATAACTACAAGACTTTTATTCTCTGTAGCTGTTTTATAAGGTTTAGGCAAGAAATTCTGGCTTTAATTTTCATGGTTTGATTAGGTTTGAACAACACAACTATTTGGCACCTAAAGTACACAATGGCTGCACAGTGGAACTGCAGTTAACATTGGTAACATTACTGCAAGTTGGTTTCTTGTTCAGACCACACATGGCCTCTGTGTGGAGGTTGTACGTAATAGGTTTCCTTTAGCCATTCTAGTTTCCTCCCACAGTCCATAGACATGCATGTTAGATGACCGGTGATTCTAAATTACTCATGGAATTGTAAAATGTTTCAAATGTACAGAATAAAAGCAAAACAGCAATAGATTTGTATTAAAAGTTAGAGCTGGTTAGTTAAAATGTTACTTCCATTCAATCTGCAAAAAGCTTTTTCATCCACTGTTACTATGGTGACAACTCCCACCCCCGGTGGTGATATCAGACTTTGTCTCAAATTTTTCAGGGCTTGGTTGGATCACTTTTGTTTAGCAATGTGACTCCTATTCTTTTATTGTTTTAAGAAAAGTTATTTTCTTCAGGAACTTTTGGAAAGAGATTTTTCTGGTTATATTGCAAGACTGACACTGAAGGTGACAAACACCTTGTTCATCAGCAAATATAGCAAAAACAGTAAATAGGTTCATGGTAAAATACATCACCCCTCCCCTTTTGTCATCTGTTTGCCCATCTAGATTGAATAGATGCCCTTTCCATGTATACATAGCAAAGTAATATATTATTTATTTACAGCAGAACTATATCTATTGGTGACCCAGCCCTCTGCATCTGACAAGTTTTACCTTGAGAAGATTAAGTTAGAAGAATAATCATTCAGAGAAACTAGTGGAACAGAGAAAGGGGAAGTGACAGAGAGAAGCATAGCATGTAGGGGAGGTGGGGGGTGGGTACTGCGGCGTTAGATCACACTGTCGAGATGCAATGACACAGCTCACTGATGCTGCTGTAGTTTTACATAGGAATTGCTCTCTGGTGCAAGAAAACTGCAAGTGTAGCAAAAACTCATACATCACAGGAACAAAATGTACAGGGTCTCAAGGACAGGACAGTACTAAAGCCTTTTGGTATAATATGATTTACAACTATCTGTTATGTTCTCTCTTCTCTTTTTCTGTCTCGACTATGCGCATGCAATCTGCCCTACAACTGCAGCCACAGAAAACAGTCAGAGATATTCAGCATTCCTTTGATTCTTACCTTTCTTTAGTTGGGCCATTGATTCTGCTGCATTACTGAGATTCAGCGGTTAGTCAGGGTGATGCTGCTCTGGCTAGAGCTAGGCTACATCCTCTCTCCCTCTCCTTCTCTGCTGCACTCTCTGGTGCATGTTCCTTTATCTGCACTGCTCTTGTCGTCTATTCCAAGTTCCTGTCTGTCTGGCTAGAGGAAGTAGCACAGTAATGTCACTGATTAACAGCTCATGAGTAGGGAATTTTATACATATTACATTACTTGTGTGCTAATTGCTTATTTATTTATTCCCTTTTTTAAAACATATTTAACAAATGGAGAAGAAAAGAGGAAGCAAGAAGTCTAAACTCTATCTACAACAGATTAACAGTATTTGAAAGTTATATCCCTAAAAACAGAAAGAAAACCCAGCAAAGACCTGACACAGCACCTGAGAGATGCATCTGGACAGTCAGATGGGAGCGTGGTTGTCAAGAAATCATTTTTAAGGAAAGACATAGGGTGAAAAGGTTAAGGTAAACACAACAACAACAAAAAACTTTGTCAAAATCTTTGATGCCGTGATGAATCCAAATGTGAAAATTTTGGTTCAGATTGTTGGTAATATATATGAATTATGAATGGAGGTTGTCAGCAAGGAACAACAGTCACTGTCTACAGCCAAAACGAATGCTTGGGTTGGTTCCTGCATTTCTGCCTATGCTTATATAAAAGAGGGATGGCCTGGCTCCACTTCCTCCCTCTGTACTAATGTGAAGAAAACTGCCATCTTGCATTTTTACTGCCACAGTATGTGTAGTAGTGATTTGGGGTGGAGTTGCTGCAACAAACCCCGCCCACATATCTGACCACAAACACACCCCTTGCACTTCTTATGTTGTCAAGCTGCTTGAGTTTTAACACCCAGAACTGTCACCAGGGAAAGGCTACTCCATGTGTATTTAAGCCCTGTTTTCCTTCATTCTTTGTCATGTTGTCCGATTACGTTATCCATATCCATGCTTCTTTGCCAGTGAGTCTTTTCCTGATATCTTTAGTTATTTTGTTTTTTTCCAGCAATAAAGCTGCATTTTGAGTCTAACGTCTGTGTGCCAAGTATTGTATTTTGGTCCTACACTGCCCACCACACAGCCTACCCCATGATTAGAGAGAGACCAGGAAACTCACGGTGAGCATGGATTAGAGAGGAAGTGTCAGAGGCTGAAGATGGCATGGAATATAATCCATGCAACCGAGACCAAGAAAAAACTGATGAGGACAAATTCAGTGATGAAGAGGATCGCCATGATGAGACTGTTGTCACGTCAACAAGTCAAAGAATGGGAACTTATCCCCACCTGAGAATCAACTTGGGCTTTTAGCTGAAACTCTAATTTGAAAATAATGGTAAACTATAGTGGTAAACATGGAGGTAAGCCAGAAAGACATCAAAGCATACATTAGGGTTTTTTTTTTATTTTCAGTGGAGATCCGAGAATGAATCTATCAACAGTTTATGGATGTAGAGTTCAGTCGGACAGTTTTTTGGGCCACCATGTTACTCTATAAATTTTACATGTTGACAGGTTTGTGGAGCGCCAGCCACTCATCTATATCCCATCTTTCAGGAACCCATAGATGGTGTTCCTGAAAAGAGGTAATTTTAGTGTAATGTTGGAATCATTTGGTCCATACACAGCTAAAATATTCCTGGTCACTTTGACAGCTGTGATAAAGAGTATACTATGTTTGATCTGGTTATTATAGTCAAAATAGAAATGATGTGTTTCGACTCAAATATAAGGCATATAAAGTCATATTAATGAGACATACGGGGTCATAAATAACAGAAGTTCAAAAACTTTAGTTGATAAAACAATCTAACACAACAAGAAGGGAAATATATCTATTATTATAGCTTTTATGATGAGTCGTAATGAAACAGTCATTTTTAACTGTGAACACAAAATAGTTTAACATAAAACGAACACAAGGGTTAATTAAAGTAGTACTGCACACAATTAGAAAGATTCAGTTGTCCCTTATTATCCCAGCAGGGCATCCAACAGCCATCAGAGGGTAGGTGTTGTGATGGAAAGTTTCTAGTTCATTCTTATATTTATTAGTAGGTGCTTAGAACTTCTTGTATTTCTTAGGTGAGTCTGTGTGTCAATATGACCTGGTGTAACTATGCTTAACTACGTTTCACTATGTTATCTGCTGACTGTTAGGGCATAGAAGGATGAAATTCCCAGGGAAACCAGTGCCAGGTGCTTCCTGGAATATGGATAGCAGGAGTTGCTCCCTGCCCAGCAACAGCGGGGGTTGAGACAAGAAGCTGTTGTAACTGTAGTGATGCACCAGGAGTTGTGTGTGAAGGTATAAAAGAGGCGGCGTGACGTCTCAAGGGCAGAGCTATCCTGACTGCATAACTGTGATGTTTGCAGTCTGTTTGCTCTCTTGCATCCTGTAATTAAAAAGCTTTGGCCACAGCTGACCGCATTGCAGACTTTACTAACAGGAAATTCCAAGACAGTGTTCATTTCCCAGATCTTGTTCTTCAGATTTACCTGACTGTTTAGGACTATCCTCAATGTTTGCAATGTTGCCTTCTGCTAGTGCAGTCCCCTCAGTTGTGACTACCTTCCCTCTCTTTGTTACCATCCAAATACACTTCTCCAATCTGAATGACATTCCAGTGTCATTGTTGTAGATCAGGGGTGTCAAACTCATTTTAGTTCAGGGGCCACATGGAGAAAAGTCTATTCTCAAGTGGGCCGGACTGGTAAAATCATTGTATATATAACTTAAAAACAACAACTTCAGCACAACATAGCTATTAATCATAAAACATCTCAAGTTATTTGAAAATTCTGAGGACAACGAACACACAAACACACAGTGCCTCAGTGATTCACAGAACTGTTTCACAGATCACAGAACTATATCAGGGTGTCACTTGGCAGGCAGCAATGTAGATAAAAATAATGAAATCCTGTTCCCCAAACAAGTACAAGAACCACAGAATAGGTTAAATATATAAATCAAATATAATCAATTAGAAACAGTAGCCCATCAACATAAAGGTATATAAACATAAAGCTGGAGCCTGAGGACAGTGTGTCCAAAAGCACAACATAGCTATTAATTACAAAACACCTCAAGTTATTTGAAAATTCTGAGGACAAAGAACACAAAAGCACACAGTGCCTCAGTGATTCACAGAAGTATATCACAGATCACAGAACTACATCAGGGTGTCTCATGCAGCGCTTTCAGTGGGGTTGCATAGTTTATTTGACTCCTGATACCTGGCATCTTTTAGCTTTCACCAGCTCATCAATATCAGGCTTCACATCCTGAGCGGCAGCTAACTTCAGGATGTGATTCAAGTGCCTGTGCGTGAGCCTTGAGCGCAGTTTTGTTTTATTTATGCTCATTACAGAGAAAACCTGCTCACAAAGATACGTGGTTCCGAACATGCACAACAGTTTTGCAGCGAGGGCTGTCAAGTTGGGGTAACCTGGCAAGAGATTCTGATAGAATGTGTTCAAGCCAGCTGCGGCAAATTTGCCCTTCAAATCCGAGTCACACTGCAAGTCTATTATTTCAAGTTGGATCCTGACGGTCAGATCAAAGGGATTCACGGTGAACGGCGAGCTTAAAACGTTGAAGTCTTTCTCCAGTTCACCAAAAATCTGAAATCGTTGCTCAAACTCTAGTAACAGTCCCGTTATTTTATCTTTAAACCGCTTCATATCTGCCACACTTTGGATCGTGCACACATTTTTCAGACAGGGGAAGTGAGCTGCATCACCACCAGCGAGCTGCGTCTCCCACAATAACAGCTTCAACTTGAAAGAACGTATGCTGTCATAATACTGCGTGACAACTTTGTTGCGTCCTTGCAGCTGTTTGTTCAAGTTATTCAGGTGCTCTGTAACATCCACCATAAATGCAAGGTCCTGCATCCATTCTGCGGAATGAAATTCTAACACTGGTTTGCCCTTTTCTTCCATAAACTGTTCAATTTCTTCTCGTAAATCAAAGAAACGCCTCAGCACAGCACCTCGGCTCAACCATCTTACCTCAGTGTGGTATGGCTGGCCATAGATGTGGTCTTTCTCTCTGAGAAGACTGTCAAACTGACGGTGATTGAGGCTTCTGGATCGGATGAAATTAACAGTTTGGATGACCACCTTTATGACGTTATCCATTTTCAGTGACTTGCAACACAAAGCCTCCTGGTGCAAAATACAGTGAAAAGTCCAAAAATCACGTCCTCCATTTGCAGATTGCACTTTATCTCTGAACTTTTTTTTACAACGCCTGCTTTCTTCCCGATCATTGAGGGCGCACCATCTCTAGCCAGGCTGACAGCTCGGGACCAGTCCACTCAGACCCTGTCCAGCGCGCCGACGAGTGCGGTAAAATATCAGCTGCGGTCGTTGTATCTGTTATCGGTACCAACTCCACGAACTCCTTGGTGACGGTCAATGTATCAACAACTCCGCGGATGAAAATTGCCAGTTGTGCAACATCTGTAATGTCCGTGCCTTCATCAATTGCAACTGAAAACACAATAAATGACTATTTTTTTTGCTTCAACTGGCTGTCCGAATCCGCTGAAAGATCAGAAATCCTGTCGGCAACTGTGTTTCTTGTCAGGCTGATATTTGCAAAGGCCTGGCGCTTTTCAGGGCACACAATCTCCGATGCCTTCATCATACATGTTTTTACAAATTTACCCTCACTAAATGGTTTTGAAGCTAGTGCGATTTCGTTAGCAATGAGGTAGCTAGCTTTCACTGCAGCATCACTGATGTCTGGGCTGTGAGTAAACACATACTGCTGTTTCTTCAGACCCGCCAACAGTTCATTCACCTTCTCTCTTCTCCGCTGTCCTTGGAAGTTGTCATATTTGTCGGCATGAAGACTCACATAGTGGCGACGGAGGTTATATTCTTTCAGCACTGCAACATGCTAGGAACAGACCAAACATACAGCTTTCCCAGTCACTTCCGTGAATAAATAGGAGGATGACCATTTTTCTTGGAACACTTTGCACTCTGCATCCACTTTTCTCTTTTTTTAACAGAGACATACTGGGGCAATGAGGGTGCCAAGCACATCAGGTTTAAATTTCGTGGGCAAAACAAAGTAGCTCACAATTGCTATTGCGCCATCCAATGGACACAATTGGAACAGCAGTTTCTTTATTGAAAAATTGCTGCTCATTTTTATACTTTACAAAATCATCTCACGGGCCAGATTAAACCCGTTTGCGGG